TCCGCCCACTGTTGATTTGAACTTATTTCTGCATGCACCTCTAACCACCCTTTCCGCGCTATAGGAGGTCATTCTCCAATTTAGTGAGTTCTCATTCTCGGTCCCCCAACTGTTGATTAGCACTTATGTATTCAGTACCTCTCACCTGCCCTTTTCGCGCTCTAGGATGTAATTCATACATTTATCAATTGTCGGTCTCAGTCCGAACACTGTGGGAATTTGAACTTATTTCTTCAAGTACCTCTAACCACACTTCATCGCGCTCTAATAGGTAATTTTCTGATTTAGTGCGTACTTTGTCCGCCCACTATGTTGATTTGACCAGGTTCCTTGAAGTAGCTCTAGGCATACTCTTTCCCGCTGTAATATTTAATTCACCAATTTTATGAATTCTCAATCTGAACACCATTAGTAACATGATGTAAATGTTTGCGATTCATTAAACGCGATCACCATTAGGTGCTATGTTTTTCATGTTGTCTGCTTGCTAATATCCGGCAGTACCTACAGTGGGTGAGCCTTCGTAGATTGCCCGCTTTGCTCGGTCTGGAACTTGGAAAGATGTACATTGAAAAGAGTTGTCAAGATCACCTTTGTCATCTGTCGTCCCACTGATGATCGATTTCCTTGAGCAGACGCCAGAAACTTTTTGATCGTCCCTGTCACGAGCCAGTGTTGTCCACTTAATCGTACTCGTAAGAGGGACAGAGGGCAGAACATCCCTTTTATTCAGCGCTTTCATGAAAAGGTCTGACCATCGGATCCTAGCGCTGTCGTCCCGAAAGGAATAATCGTCCTCATCCAACGGTCATCCCTGATTCGCATGACGGCCCCGCTCATCTTATTCGGTATCTTGACGTAAACAACGGCGTCCCTGGTCTTCGTTCGTAGACGCTATCACCCAACGACTTTCGTTGAATGACACTAACTGCATGCTCATCCATCTTTCGTAGAGTCCAAGTCTCTGAGGCGTATTTCGAGGCAGGAACGACCGCATTGTAGGAATGGTGATTGCGGAGCAATATCTTCTTCCTTTTATTCACTACTCCCTCGATGTTGTTAAATACTCCCCACGCCACGCATTTCCTCTTGCTCCGCTCCGGTGCTAGGCTGTTCATCCTATTGACTTCGCCACCCAGATAACATAGCTAAAGCATTCAGAGATGTTCGTTCCGCTCGACGTGAAAGGAGCATCAGGTACCAGCCCATTACGCATGAACATCGTCTTCGTTAGGTTCAGTTTCGCCGCTCTCTCTCCACGCAGTGAAAAGCGGAATCTAGCGCGGAGGAAAAATGTTCTGATCCGTCATCACGACAGCGACGTTTCTCAGGCAAAACGTGACGACGATGTGATCTACCCAGCATGAAACTGCCCACCGAGTGACTCCCATGCCCGTAGGGTGAGGGGGCTTATATTGCGAGTTACCGAGCATATTTCGACTTGATAATTTCGGACAGCCTTCACCTTGCTCATTCAATCCCATTCCGTGAATCCCGATATGGAGCTCTTCAGCCGTTCGTCTGGGTTGATCTCGGCGTTGAAATCACCTACGATGACCTTGAAGAAAGTATGGTCTTCACTGTAGAACCCTTCAACTCTTTTCATCGTAGCTCGATGTTGACGCGCAAATAACGAAGATTGTTAGAGTCGGTGTTGAGCCACGTCTTCTCAATCGCAAATCGACTTCCAAAGTTCTCTTACGAATCGATGTTCATCGCCAAGTGAGACACTTTCGAATATTTTTCCATCTCATATTTCAGATCCGTTTTTGCTATCCTGCTCTTTCTCGAAAATTTGTCCTCTGTGCGTGTTGACGAAGACACCAATATCGCCAAAGCCTCTGCTAGCGCATGTTCCCAGGAGCAGTTTTTCTCCAACTGTTTTGAATACGGCGTGCTGTGCCTTTTCGTCCCGGTCAGTCCGATGATGTCGTAATTTGCCTTCCAAGCTTGCATCAGCGGATTTGACAACAGAAACACGCTTCCAAATTGTTGGTCAGTCGACGGCTACAAATCCAGATCTATATCTTAGCACCAGCCCATGACGATTGCCTGTGCTTGTCACTTGAAACCTAAGCAAAATGCAAATGCCAAAGCTTATCTTATCGGTGAAAGAGCTCATTGGGGATCGTGATCTGACGGAAAAGCATGACGTGGTTGAGAAAACGATAAAAATCTTGAAGTTCAATTGTTGCCTTTTTCCTGATTAGCCGTAAGCCTATCACAAAAGCGACTACGACGAGATTTCAAAAATGTGACTAGATCCTGCGCATCCGTGGTTCCTAGTCATTTATGCTACGCCCAACAGGCTCAACAAATCATACAACGGAAATGAAGCAACACCACTCTTAGCAAGTTGTTGTGAATCATATGTATTATTATTACTATTATGCTGCTTGGGGAGTAGCACATGAGATGAAGGAACTGGAAATAGACTCGTCAGTTCCTGTTCCCCTGTTTATTTGTTTTTAAGAGCTTCGACTGCATAGGGGAAGAAAATTTGATGACTGAAGAAGCCTCCATAGGTTTGTGAGATATTTCTCTAAATTACCTGTAACCGATCTCTTTCCAAAATTGAATTAATTGATTGGATGGCGGAATAATTCCTGAACAAGCGAATTACGAGGGCTGCCTTTTATATTTTGAGATTTGGCAACAGTAGTGTAGCAATCTAGCAACTGATATACTATCGTAAAGTTTGATTATTTTGAGGATATGTTGCGAAATTTGAGCGCGATTTGTGTTGTTTACACTAAGTTATAAGATTTTGTTTGGGCCAAGTTATGCGGTTGAACCGTAAGCATTTTCGCACGACTATTTTCTGCAACTTTCGACGTGGGCTAACTCAACAGCAATGCATGGATGAACTTAGTTCACTTTTGGTGATGAAGCTCCATCCACGGCCAGTGTTTATCGATGGTACAGTGAGTTCACCCGAGGTCGTAGTTCACTCGAAGAAAAATTTCGTGATGGTCGTCCAAAATCAGTTGATGTTCCGGAAACCGTTGACACTGTGCACAAACGAATATTGCAAGACCGTCATGTGGCCTATCGTGAGATTGGGACAACCTTAGGCATTGGTGGGACCAGCATACATTCAATACTGCATGAACACTTGACTGTAAAAAAATTGTTTTTGAAAAATTTGCCAATCCCCCAAAAAAGGGACTCGTGTCGATTGGTCGAAAGAAATGCTCAAAAATACGATCGCGGTGCTTCGAAACACGTCTATAGCATTGAAACAGATGATGGATCATGGATTTATGCGTGTGAGCCCGAAATGAAACAGCAGTCGACCGTATAGGTATTTCAAGATGAGCCAAATTCATCAAGAGCTGTCCGCGCACCAAGCACTTCCGAGCAGTTGATCTCCTTTTTTTTTCTAGAAAAACTGGACATGTCGCAACCGTACCACTAGGATAAGCAGAACATTCAATTTTGAGTGATACACCACCATTTGTTTGCCAGTTGACTTCCAAAATTCAGGAAAACCAACTGCTGATGACGGATCACTCTTCACTACGACAATGCGAGCTCCCACACGTCGGCTCAAACGACTGCATTTTTCAGCACTCAAAACAATGATTAGACAGGTCATCAGCCATGTAGTCCTCGGGTGACTTCTTCTCATCCCGTAGGTAGGAACTAAAATGAGAGGTCAACGTTTTTCGACACCTGAAGAAGCCGTTGATGCGCTCAGAGTCCATGTTTTAGAGTTACCTACATCAGAGTGGCAAAAGTGCTTCGGAAATTGGTTCGAGCCCATGCAAAAGTGTATAGATCTTAATGTGGAGAATTTCGAAAGGCAATAAAGCGATTTCCAATAAATGATATTTGTTTCTGTTCCCAAATCTCAAAATATAAAAGGCAGCCCACGTATTTCACACTCGCTTGTACTGGGAAAGATGATTACAAATACAAATGTCAGTATAGGTCCCAAAAAACCTGTCATAAGAGAATGTGAGAGGAACTCACAACCAAGTTGATGCTATGCATACCTAACGTTTCATTATTATATGCAGGCCACTCTACATATTAAAGCCTGACTGCTCTTTCAGAAATGCTCGTGATCGGTCGACTAGCGCCCCGATGGAATGTACCCATTATTGCTCATATGTCTGGTGATGATATACTCAGTGATCGTTCCGCATTTCCTACTCTTGGATCTGTTGCTCTCACATCGGCTAGTGAAATGGCTCGCGCTACACTCACTTTCCTTCAGTTGAACAATTGGGACCAGGTTCGTCCTACACTTACAACTGACCTTATTTTTAACACGCTTTTGTTACAGTTTTATTGGGATGATAAGTTATAATAGATAATTAAGTATTTCTGTGCCTTTCAAAACAACTGCTTATATTGCCTTCGCATGATACGGATTTCTATACGAGGCAGTTCCTCTGACTCGCCCAACCTTCTTGGGCTCTTTCATAGTTGTATTCCAAAAGAGCCGTGTACACTCATACAAAATAGCAACTCGCACGTCGCAACACTTTGTGCCCAACCTTTTGCGTTCGAAAGTGTCGACATAATGCTATAAGGGTTCTGCGAAAATGGAATCAGCTTGTCAGAAAAAATGGAAATCAGATAAGACAAAAGTTCCATTTCTGCGGTCGTCATACGCTTAAGGTCACCTTATATATCCTGGACGGTACTCCATAGATACGGCATATCAACCTGTCCGTTCCATTCAAGTTTTACCCGATATTATGGAATCAACAAACAGGAGGGATTGCTCCGTATTACTACTCTCATTTTCCTTGTTACTAGGTCGGATTTGTACGAGCGGCGTCTAACTACGATCGGCTCTCTCTCCAATCACTAACTAATCTTCTCAGGAGGAAAGAAGTCAAAGTGAATATTGTGATAGATGTGGAGGAAGGTCAAACGCCTGACGATATCATTGCCTCCGGAAAGCTAAAATTGCTACGAAACAAAGCAAGAAGTAACTGATAAGTTGAAGTATTCTTATTTTTTTTTGGTTGCGCTTTACTCCAGGAGTTAACTGAATTTGGACTCTGCCTCCATCCTGAGGCTTGTAAGGATATGACACATTCCTGACATGTTTTTCGATTCCTCTTCTACCTAAGCGAAATTCTTCGGAGAACGGGAGAACGAAGACATTTCCTATTTCCAGTGATAAAGGTCGTTCACTAGATGCATAGTATCGCTTGTGACTCTGCTATGTGGTACTCGATAAGGTGTGGCACGAAATATAATTGAAAGAATCCATCGTCACGGATTCCTCAGTAGATCCAAGACCTTCAATGTCCATAATACGCCCTCTAATACCCGAAGAGCTCTATTCCTATATCAGAGACGTTAGACAAAAGTCTTCAGATAGAAGGTGAGAGGAAGATTCGTCAAAAACCTTCAGTTGAAAGGTGAATTGTCTCCATTTCCAGTACCTAGAAAGTGACTTTTCCTTTATATGTTGTTGAAGCCTATATGTACTACGGTTTCTTTCTTCGGTGCATAGTTTCTTTAAATGCACCTCTGAAGCATAAATCTCAAAATTTAAGAGGTAGTTGTTAGAACACTGCTTGAGGCCTATTGCAGTAATCATCGTCGAACTGGGAATGGACGTCACATCAGCCACCAATTTCATGCTCTCTGTTCACCGTTCCGAAATGAAGTCTGATGAATATGTATATATAATCCCCTGGCTTTCCCACGTGAGTTGTCGTCATAGTTCACAATAATAAAAAGTAATACAATTGAAAAGGTGCTGTTAATGTGAGTTTTTGATGTCTATAGACGTTGGTGCATGGCTATAAAAATTGTGTGTGCTCGTCTTATGTATTTATTTATATTATTTCGTTTGATGCACGCAGCGGTTAAGTCAAAAAGAACAACGAGGTGAAGTATAAGAAAGTAGTTACACTCAAGTTACTTACATATAAAACTTATTAGGCGGGTGGCGCTGAGGATGATGCCACTCTCATAGAGAGATAAATGTACATATGGAATCGGAAACTAAGTTTTCGAAGGTTAGGTATTCTCTATCCTTTACAATTCAGTTCAACCCGCACCATTCAAGTACGACCTAGAACTACCTTCGAAATTCACTCCTAGTCGATCAGTTGAGCTTCGAGTGCATCATATGCTAACGCGTGCACCACATGTCCACAATCAGCAAAACAGAAACATCCTTTTGTGCTCTGTTTCACTTCTGCTTCACCCAAAGTTCTGCTTAGTTCTCTTCTAAAAATCACGCATCAAGGGTGAGATAGTTAGGAGCGAAGGGTTCTTTCAAGCCGTAGCATCATAAACATGTATGTTCAAAACTCGCTCAAATTCCATTATCCTATTAGGTTGGAAAGAAAGTCCTGCAACAAAATGAAGGTCTTTTCCAAATCGTTTCTGAAATTTTCCAGGCCAACCAATTTTCGGAAATATATTTACCAAAGAAGTCAACAACCTTCCATTATCCTTTGAGTGAATCACTGATGCCTTTTATTCAGGAGTGAGGAAGCTGTGACTCAAAGAAGTAATAGACTGCCGTTTTCAAATCACTTTAAGTTACGAATTTTTCTTCCACAACGGTATGCTCAAGAACGCGGAGCGCAGAGAAAAGAGGCAACACTTAGGGAGTTCGACTGATGAACAACCTGGAACCAATTCGAATCGTGGAACTTTTGACGCGTGTTTGATGCGAAATTTCGACGTGCGTTGTCCCGGGACCTGATTTACGGTTTTAATCGTCCTTCTCTAAACCTGTTTTCCAAATTTCGGGGTTCATGGGGGTAACCGATAGCTGTGTCCATCTAGCCTGCGTTTAGCAACTCATAGTGAATGGATCCCTCCAACCTCCATTGAATCAAGGGACCATGCTTGCGTGACTTCGAAGGCTAGTATCTCCTCCATTGAAGCGATCCAACCGATTGTTGACCGTTGATCGGTGAGCAGTGCCAGGATTAAACAGGTTGCTGATAATTTGAGCCGCTACACCCACGTTTTCCCCTTGGCGTGCTTAGTAGAAGGTGATGGTTCGAATCGGGTGTTGTCCATTCACTGACCGTAAAGCTGCCAAAGCCCACACGCGTGCCCTTATTTACTCAATTGATGACCTGAGGAATGTCCTACAAGTTTATCACTTCTGCTACCGTGTTCACACTGTTGATACAAATTGCTGACGCTTCAAATTTTTTGTTGCAGGACTCTCCTTCCAACCTAATTCTTACTATAAAGCGCTTCGTCTGTCGTCTGTCGTTCAGTCGTCTGTCGCTCTGCCGTTTGTTGTTATGTATATCTGTCACGAAGTTCCTTAGCTCCCTCAGATCTGCTTGGAGAAACCGGGTCAGCGTGGGATGGGTGGGCCATGTCCCGAGAAGCGTAAACATCAGCTTGGCGGAGCCCCGCCCACAGTGTGGCACGCCACACTGTGGGAGCGATGGAGGAGCTCACGTAGAGAAATGAGCTGTACTGAGGACCATGTTTTCGAATTCAGTCACAAGACGGCTTAGAAACTGGGGTGCAAAGATGGCTACAGGTGTGCATTGGTAAGCTGGTGGGTAACAGGACAGGACCCCGCCCACAGGGGGCAGGGTTTGTGTGAAATAAATGTCTTAGCGGAAAGTCAGAACTTCTGCCCCATGGACCTGAAGCGCACAGACTTGGTAGTAGTACAGGCGGCAGGATGGGAATGCTCATGGCGCGTGGCAGGATCGGACTCCACCCGCAGGGGCGGGGTTTGAGCGGAAATTCATTAATCCTATTCCTACAGATCAAGACCGTTCGAAATAGGTAAGAGTGCATAAGGCAGGATAGGAACGCCCATGGTGGATGGAAGAAGCGGGCGACGCTCACAAGGGGCCGGACTTGTGTGAAAAACTTAAAATTGGACCTAGAGCGTTCAAATTTAGTAGGAGTACAGGCGGCAGGATGGGAACGCTCATGATGGATGGCAGAACCGGACTTTGCCTACTAGTGGCAGGGTTTGTGTGATTAACTTAAATATGGACCTAGAGCGTTCAAATTTGCTAGGAGTGAAGGCGGCTTGATGGGAACACTTGTGATGGGTGGCAGGACCGGAATCCGCTCACAGTAGGCCAGTGGGTGCGGTTTGAGTGGAAATTCATAGCTCTTGTTCCCGTGAAGCTAGAGCGCTCAAATTTCATGGGTGTGCGGGATAGAAACACTCATGGTGGGTCGCAAGACTAGAGCTACCCACATAAGGCGGGGCTTGTGCGAAAGTTTTAGCGTGGGCCTAGAGCGTTTATATTCGATGGAAGTACAGGCAGTAGATCTTAGCTCCGCTCGCAGGAGGCGAGGCGTGGGCAAAAAAATGTTAATTTAGGCTTGCAGCGAAATTTCCAAACCAAGGTCAGAAGGCTGGGAATAAATCGAGTTACTTGAACACACAGAACCTAAGGAAGTTTGTTCATGGCGGACGGGGCTCGCAGGAATTGAGTTGGGTGTATGTGTTCGGCGGGAATGAATAACTCCTGTTCTCATCTAACAAAGCCTCCCAATTTGAAAAGGTGCAGGCGAGGAGGCCATTTCATCACGAGAAGGAGGGGAGGCCGGCGTCAGCCGGGTGAGCCGACTGGTAGGAAATAAAGCGTTAGAGTTGTAATGGTCAAGTCCGCAAAGTGTTTGATGATGCCTGATGCGGGAGTGGAATTCCCCCAGTCATCTCATCCTGCTACTCTTTTTTTTGAAGGTTTGATTGCCCTGGGATTGAAAGGATCTATTAGATTGAGTCATTAATCGTCGGGCCAATTGACAATGATTATTTTTATCTTACAATTTTTAAACGACAATAGGGAATCATTCGAAATATGCCCCATTGGCATCGATGGTCTTCTGGCAACGCTCGGGCAGATCGTAGATACCCCTGCTCCGGAACGCTCGGTGCTGGTCCGAAGAATTGCTCGAGTGCCATTTTGATGTCGTTGCGGGTCTGAAGGTCTTGTCCATTCAGATGACGTTGGAGATGGAGAAAAAGGCGGCATTGCGAGGGAGCCAAGCCTGGTGAATATGGTGCAAGTGATGAAAGTGTCCAGCCGAAATTCATTAATTCTGTTCGGTCGTTCTTGCAATGTGCGGCCGAGCGTTGTCTGCTGTAAGTAAACTTTGTGCTGCTGTGGACGTGAAACTTCGAGATTCGCTTTCGAATTCCTAAGTTGCCTAATGTAGACGTCTGCGGTCACTGTATATCCTTTGTCCCAGTTCCCAGTATTCGACACCGTGAACGCTCTACCAGATGCAGAGCAGACTATAGTGGGTACGTTGGAATTAGGGAAGCCCCCTGCATCCGCACCTTTGTCAACCCGTTGAGCACGCCAGTGAACGTCAAAGTAGAGGATCCACTCCTCATTCCTAGTGACAGGATGCTCGAGCCACGTGTGGATGCGCCTGAGCGTGAGGAGAGAAAGTGCCACGTTAGCGCACTGATCCATGTCATACTGCTCCCAAGCATGAGGCACCCATCGACCGAGCTTTCGTACCTTGCCGATTGACTTCAATCCACGAACAGCTGTGGACTGACTCACCCCGAGAGTGACTGTCAGTTCTCGAGTAGTTTGATACGGATCGGCTTCCACGTGGCTCCGCAGCACGTCCAAATCCAAGTCCATTGTGCTTCCCGGAAAGTTTCCATCTTCGATGGAACAGTCGCCCGACGCAAACTTTGAGTGCCACTTGCAAAGTGCGCTTCTGACAGGAGCTTCCTCCTTGTGAATTTCCTCCAGACGCCTATCGATTGCCGCCGGTCCTTGGCCAGATAAAAAAAGAAATAGGATGTTGTTGCGGAGGTGGAGTTGCGACGGCTTGAAATCATGGAGCATGATTGCAGGAGAAGAAACATGTGTTCTTTAGAATGCATTTAGAGCAGCTCTTTATACTCTATCTAATGATGCCTCGCGCATCCATTTGCGTCACCACTTTCCCGAGTCATGAGCTCTAGAATTCATCACTAACACGTTGTCGGAGGACTTATGACTCAACCCTGATAGATAAGGTTCCTACTGCAGTAAGAAATGGCAGCTTATGATTGCCAGTAGGTAGCGTCTGAAGTGATCCGTGGCGGTTGTTTAGAACAAGACCGATTTAATCGTCCAGTGAATGTGTCACACAATATCCCGATTCTCACTGAGGCGCGTTGTTTGCATCAGAGCGCGAACGGTAAGCACATTTAGGCGACTCTTTCGAAATTCTTCTTCGCTTAAAGCAACAAGTCAGGTTTTGTTCTGTCAGTAGGAACATTTTCCGCCATCTTTCTTTATTCCAAGCGCGGAGCTTGTCAATCACATTATGTAGGAAAGCAGACAATCTGTGTTCAACTTAATATCGTGCTCTACTCTGAAATGAAACAGTTTGCAGCGGATAAATACAGAGAAGGGAATTAAAGTCAGAAACTGCGTAGAACCGCTTTTCACCCATAAGTTTGAGCACTAATTTTCGCGGTATAATTAGCAGATGTTTGAGACGGGTGCATAAGAAAGTTGTATGAGCACTTTGGTCTGGAAATGCAGCAATGGCGTGCTGACAGAAAACACAAATATTCAGTGTTGACTGGCTGGCAAGGGGCAACATGCGTATTCGATCAGAGGTGAAGCCGTCATAAGAGATATTGTTGTCAACCTATTAATTGCTCCATTTCTAGGTTGGTTGTAGCTTTAATATGATGCTTTTTCCTTTTGCCTCTTGTGCTATTGATTTAAAAACCTTTGAGCAGCGAAACTAGATTATTTCCGAAAAGCCAATGATTTCGCCTCACCTATTGGTCATTTTAATATGACTCTTTCGATATACCAAGTTTGTGCTATGAGCTTCACCCTCCTTCGATATGAGGGCGACGCGGGAATCGTAGCATACAGCAATAATTGGTACTTACCCCGTTTTGGTCATTCTTCTTTAAAAACAACAAAACCTAGTGGAGAATTCCATATTATTTTTGTTGTTATGATTTCCTGAGTTTTCATTAACCGGATTAATGACTGGCTTCATGGCACATACATTTTTACTGGGTACGATGACGATATTCACATCATTTGTACTCAGCAACTCTAGCATCAAAAGCAGCGCCTACTTCATTATTGGAAATATAAGAAACATTCATGTTCACCTCATGTTCAAATTCCAAACCCTAAAGGGGAAGCTCAAAGCGTCTCACCACCCGCGCTCTAATGCAAAAAACGCGCCCCGGTGAGAACTCAGGTTACTGTATAACACATTCACGGGAGTGAAGCTTTTTCGTTTATTTACATGACTATAAGCAATATAAGAAACTTCCTATCTCATAACATGCTCCACGTGACATTTCACAATCATCTCATTGACTTTTTGCGGAGTTACACACAAAGAGACAGACAATGTTAGCACTCTATATACAGAGAAATTGTATTGCATCGTAATTATCAGGTCTTAAGATTTTTAACAAAAACATAAGGTTCACTCATTGAATGAATCAGCAAATTCAATGTCGCAAGTAAATGTGAGATAAAAATAAAAACAGACAGTGGGTCCCCATATAACTTTCTCCTCCTCCCTGCATCGATCGATGTTCATTTTTATGGGAGAGAGTGCTGGAAACAGGCTAACTAACAATCACCGAATTTCTCAGAAGTCTAGTACACCAAATGTTGATAAATCCGCTTCCCTTAAATTGGAAACGCTTACGCTCCAGATATTACATAGTGCATCTCACATAAAAGATCATATTTTTTCAATGTCATTTCAACCACTACTACAAGCAGAAGAAAATGCAATTCGCCTGGTTGTACCTGCATGGACCATACTACAGACTGTGTGCAGATTGTTCCACTCAGAATGTATAACACACATACAAGCTCCGATCGGCACCCTGGAAGACTCATTCGCTCCTCATGTGCAAATAAATGCCGCCCAATAAATAAATATAGAATCTGTAGATACAGGAATAAAAGCGACGGTGGATGTTGCACGGTGAAACGGTACTTTTCAAGCTTCGAAACTTTGAGGCATTGGAGGTGTACGATTATATATAGTAAAGATATTTAGACAAGCGACCACTATCCGTGGGAAGCGGCTACAGTCGACAAGCAGGAGGTGAAAGCTGCATTCGAGAATACCATCATTATCACTGCTCACGGTTACGATAGAAAGTTCTACGAGGATTTTCGAGACAAATTCAGTCAGGCGACCGGGATCGTTGGTAGTCATGTAGGTAATTTGAGGCAATGACTGCGATGGGAGCACAGCAATATAAAGAGGTCATTTGAGAGGATTCCGATCCGGCATCAACAAATAAATGTTTGATGTACCACAATGTAATCGTAATCTGGTAGATGGCTACACACAAGCCCCTCACATTGCCCTGCACCCAGCGTGGCCTTTGTTACGGAAAATCTTAATAATTTCGCTTAACTACTGCCTATTTATTAATTGGTAGGAGTGAGTTCACATGCAAACCTCTAGCAACAGAAGGTCTCAAAAGCAGAAGGATTGAAAGGAGCTTCCGTTGATTTCAGTATGCCACTTTGACTTACATGTCACTGTACGACGCTCTATTCCTTTACGGTCTAGCGCTCCGTGATGCATTTGAAGACGTTGGAGGATATGATGTTCATCGGAATGGATCACTCATTTGTGCAAAAATGACTAACCGCCAATTCATCGGTTTGTTAGTATAGTTGTAAGATAATCACTTTATCGGATAAGCGATGCTTGTCGTATTAATGTATCGTAGATTAGGACGACCTAATGTAACTAATGGTACCGAATGAATAGTATGTTTGTGTTGCCATTAAGTAGGTAAAATATATCGATGGAAGTCGGATGTCTCTCTGTTTCTCTATTCTTTTTATCAGGTGCCACTGGCCAAGTACTAATGAATAATAAAGCGATCCGAGTGCCTAGCTATGCAACTTACCACACGACAAACGGAACGCTTCGAATAGTGGTTGAACTTGAGGCGAAAAACGTGGAGAACCAGAACTGTGATAGTAATCCTGACAAATGTTCGGAGCACGTGAGTTATGCCAGTGGGGATCTGTTCTGAGATAACAAGCTGTGTAGGATTTGTCGTGCAGATACCAAAAACAATCGAGTTAAGGCCTGTTTACAGGGTTCACAATTTCCATGAGATCGGTTTACACGTAACACTTGCAGAATTGGATTTGTACAGACTTTTGTGTGATGAGTATATTCAGGTAGCACACGAAGTAATACAATTCTACTGGTCATCAAGCAGCGGCCGGCTACCGAAAGCCGTTCCTTATTGCGGTTTCACTGGTTCTGAATGTAACTACACGACGTACTTCGTTTTTCTTGGAGTGATCGTTTTTTTCGCTACTACTGCACCCCTTTCATATTTTATATATTTGAAACAGTGAGCAGCTTGAATTATGCCCGAAGTGCATACCTATTCTCGCGTGGTTCCTTCAGAAAAGAACGGTTACTATACGACATGACATGGCGTATCCCCAGAGATAGCATCCAGCTAGTGGAAAGCAACAAATCGGTACTTTATTGACAATTATTGCATGTTTTCAGCAAACCAGCTGACCTGAAATTTACTAGCAAGAAAACTTTTGTTTAACCGACAGACTTACTTTAATCCTCGCACGTTGCAAACAAGGGATGATTGATTGTGAGTACGGATCCTGATTTTTTTTTTGATTATTGCATTATAAGTGAGAAGAGCAACTCCTCGAATGTAGTGGCTAAGATAAGAGGAGAGGAGGGGGAGGGGAGTGTGATGTGGGTTGGGGATTGACCGCGCAACAAGTTTTCTGGGAGAACCACTTACTTGCAATTTCAGAAATCCGAGCACTCGTTGGCAAGCAAATCGCAAAGTTCTGGATCATTTTCTGGCAGCGTTGGCTCTAAACAGGTGTTATCGGCCAACCAAGCAATGTCGAATGGCGTTCGGATAGCAATCAAACGTTTCCAACAGATGCGGAATATCACATTCCCAAAGTCAGAGTTGAAACTGCTCAAGGAGGTCTCTTATTCGCACTTCGATTCTTCATCAACTGCTGATATTCTGATAGTAGTATTACGTTTTCAGTTAAAACTCGTTGAAAACGAAAACTTGAACAAGTTCTATGGTATTGCGTTCAACCAGCAGAATGATTTCATCGTCATGTGGATTTTCTGCACCCGTGGCAGCCTTGAGTTATGCAATTTTTCTTGACACAGTATTAATGTTCTGGTTAACGAAACATGCTATCTAACGATTACCTAGAAGTGAAAATACGAATTTTTGTTTGAATTAGATAATCTTCATCAACAAACTTGTTCAAGATCCATGATCGAGTATCAAATGACTCGAGTTAGTGGTGTTAGAATCCTTTTGACGCTCGAAATTTCTAGGAGGAACACTTTGTCAACTTAACGGCCTGATGTTTCGACGTAATCGTCGTCTTCAGAGACCTGAACGCAGTTTGAGATGTTCCGCAATATCCAATAGCGTTTGACTCCTAGGCAAAAAACGACCGAAACTCATCGGAAAACTAGCCACTCCGTGAGATACTCACCAAGTTCCATCGTCGAAGCGGATAGAATCCGCTTGTAGTGATTCCTGTGTGGCCGCTGGACGTCAGAAGAGAGTAGGAAGAAGTATTTTATTGCGAGTGCATGGGCCTTTTATAGGCCAACACAAACAATAACAATTAGATCACTTTTATCATTGGTTCGGTGGTTCATGTTTTCTTATTCGTAAACAACAACTTGGTTGGACGTGGGTTGATAATAGAGGATTCTCTATACTCCGCGGCGGGCTGTGTTGCTGACGTAGACCGCTGAAAATCCTCCGATTCATTATTTCGTTTCGTTGTCAATTGAGCCGCCTGCTGGTTGGTGATGTATTCTTGTTCTATTGAGTCGTCTGGCGAGTTCTCTGGTTGAATTTCACTCTGATCGTGATTAGTTCGTTGTGGCCTGAGGTTGTAACGACGACTGCGCCTCGCTTGTGAGTTCTCCCGCCTCCTGCTGTTGTCGACGATCGGTGATTCCTCTGTATCTGTACCATCTTGTAGCTCGAGCGGAATGAGAAGATTTACAAGTCTTCGGATGACTCTTCATTTGGTAACTTAACATGTGCTTCTCGGATGATTCCAATCTCTGATGGAGAAAGATCGTGTGTACGTCCCAGCTTCCAAGTGTTTCGTGGAGTTGTTGAGTCGTAAATGAGCACCACAGTATTTCTGGCTGGTATTCTTCGGGTTCCACTTTTGTTGTTAATAAAAAGCTTGTGTTTCTCTCGGAGGCTGGTTGGGTACTGATTCTTCCATATTGTCCAAAATTACCCCGTTATTTGATGGCTTGTCTTTTAAGCTTCTTCGGCTTGTTGACGAGTCTTCAGTTGTGCTGCTTCGCTGGATGGGGAATAATCGTCGTCATTTCCGTCTGTTGCACGATTTTCGAACGGGTACGTAATGACCATATCACGTTGTATGAAATCGATGGGTCTCAAGATCGCGCTTTCCTCCCAATTTTCTTCTTGGTACGAGAGTGGTCTTGTGTTTAGAGTTCCTTCAATCTCGGTTAATGTTGTTTCCAAGTCTGGCTTCGTCAAGATGGTTTTCCGCATTACTTTGTAGAGTGAGTACTTGACAGACTTTATTAATCGCTCGTAAAATGCTCCTTGTCAAGGGGCGAAAGGTGTTATGGCTCTCCATTCGATACCTTTCGATGCTAGTGAGTTGGCAAACGAGGTGTCTTCTGTGATGGAACGTACGGTATTAGAAAGAATCTTCTCTGCAATGTCTAAGTTAGGTGCGTTATCCGATGTTATTGTGGTAGGAACTCCTCTTCTTGCGGTAAATCGACGTAGTGCATTGAGGAGATTGTTAGTTGTCATATCATGTACAAGTTCCAGATGTAGTAGTCGAGTTGTCATGCACGTAATGATTATTCCATATACTTGTACCACTTCATCATTTTCCTTGGCGGATCGTGGGCCGTAGTAGTCGATTCCACTATGTTCAAATGGGTGCGCTCTGCAAACACGTCGTCTGGGAAGATCCCCATTTCTGGGTATCTGTATTCGAGGTTATTCATCTTCTGACAAGAAATGCATTTTCTTCTTACACGTTGAACTAGTTGCCGGAGTATCCAGTAACAGTTTCTTACGTTGGCCATTGTATGAGCAGATGTGCAGTGAAGTGAGGAATGGGCATCCTGTACAATGATCTCTGCCAATTTGGTTTCTGCAATTAAAATAGGTTGACGTGCTTTAAAAGGGAGATCGGCGGGCTCCATTCGTTCGCGGCATCTCAGGATACCATACTTGTCTTTCTGTGGTTTTAACTGTTTCAATGAATTTTGTTTCGATCCTTGGAGATGTACCAACTGATGATTTCTGATAATCACCTGTAACGACAGTCTTATTTCAACTGCTGTGACATACTGCTCCTTCGTCATTTGAAGAAGTTCTGGCATTGTGTTTGTGATGCGATATTGTAGTTCCGAGGGCATCTTCGAGAGGCCTCTCCCAATCGAGTATTTCTTTTGGAATGTTACGTAGCGTGCTTGTTGTTGGAAGCATATAGTTGGTCTGTTCATCGCCGTTGGTAGGGAGGACGAGTAGACTGCAAGTCTCTGGCCATTTCCCTGGAGGTTTCTTGATGAAGTCTGGACCATTCCATCACATTCGGTCGAAGAAGCTGTTCTTATCCATTCCACGGGTGGCGCAGTCTGCAGGGTTGTCGGTAGTTTTGACGTATCCGAAATGTACTGGTACTGGGATGTTTGAAACTATCCTTCTTATTTCTTCCACGCGATTCTTTACTAGAATTCCAATCTTTTTCTTATTCGAATGAGAGGCTAGCCATTTCGGAGCGATTTCGGAATCCGAGAGAACAATAACGCTTTGGATTCTTGTACGTTGACATATTGCTGAGAAGATGTTGTGCGCTAACCGGGTTGCCATAGTGAGGGCGTTCAACTCTAACTTCGGGATGGTCGTTCGTTCCTTAATGGAAGGGAGCTTCGCCTTCGCAGCAGGGAGATTTGCTTCGTTGTCAGACACGATGTATGCACAGGTTGCCATTGCTTGTACACTGGCGCCCGAGAACAAGATTAGGTTTGAGGCTGTACCGATTTGTGCTACCTTCCTGGGTATCATGTGACAGAAATTTCCAATTGATTTTGTGACGCCGTTCCATTGCAGCTGATGTTCTTTTGACAGTGTACTATCCCACTGATAATCGAATTTCCATAACTCCTGAAGGAATATTTTACCTGCTAGTGTCAATGGAGTGAGCCATCCTAGCGGATCGTAAATAGCAGCCACTTGTTCTGAAACGGCTCTTTTTGTGATGATTTCTTTCTCAGGGTACTTGCATGAAAGAGTTATGTAGTCGCTTATTGTATTCCATGTGATACCGAGTACTTTGGTTTCTTTAGATTGACAGAGATCTGTTGGTGTGACCTGATTTTTCAGGTGCTGTTGGATTGGAATTGTCGCACATTCTTGTTGAGGGCCTTGAAAATTTTCTTCGTGTCTTGATATATTTTCAGAGCTTCACTTGTTGAAGATGTTGTTAGTATAAGATTGTCGACGTAAATATTGTCTTTTATCTCCTTTGCGAGCTGAATGTCCTGCACCATTGTTCTGAGGTGATGGTTAATGGTACCCGCAAGCCGGAATGGTGAACAATTGAGTCCGAAGGTCACTCGCGTGAAGCGGTATGTGNTCGTTGTTTCAACGATGTAGCTTCGTTGCAGTTCACTGGCTGATGCCCACTCTTTCCACAGTAGAAGCAGAAATTCTGTCGAAGTTTGCGGTGCTGAGTCTCATACGGGGTGCTGGATATCTCTTGCGATGTATCGCAAATGGTACACTGCTTCATCTGGCGTGCGACTCTGAGCTCTCCTCTGATATACTCTTTAGCTATCAGCAGTAATGTCAGCGTGTTCCACAATCCTTCAGCTTCGTTTTTCGTCTTCTGCCAGATGACATGTCTTTGTACTTTGGTGAAAATTTGTTGATCAATTGTCTTTGCAGAAAGACATTGTCAACATGTTCGCCTTTGATTTTAAGCTGTGATACGATAGACTGCAGTTCTTCGCAGAACGCTTCTTGGTCCTCTAGCCGTTTGTATGGGCGCGCGCGAATTGAGGATTGTGAGGAGCCTTTCTATCAGGGCTTCCTTGTCGTCATATTTGTTTTTGAGGTATGCGACCACCAAAGGATATGCCGCTCCTGATACTTCGAAGTGCTTCACAGATTCTCTAACCCTTCCTTGTAGTGAGTCCAAAAGGTAGTTCAGTTTGTAGATATCATCAATGTTCTTTGAGTCACCACTGTGCTCGAAGCTCTTCCAGAACGTTTCCCACTCCCAAATTTCGCCCCTAAATTTGGGAACTGGTATCAGTGCTAGTTTCATGATTGAGATGCATGAGGTATCAGGCGTTTCCGAGGGGTGGGTCACTTCCAAAGATCCCAGTTCCTGCTGAAGGACTGTAAACGTCGTAAGTGCCGCCAGAGCTTCGTCCAGGAGCTCATGTGCTGCTTCGACGTTTGTTTCAACTTTCCCTAGAGTATCCGACGGTATTTGCACGTTTGCGTCCAAATTGTCGGCTGTACTGGTATATTTATCTAATGCGCTTTCGAGTCTTTCTCTCTCTAGGTGGATTGCTGTCTCGGCTCGCTTGACTGTTCTCAGAAGTTTTTTCCGATCTTCTGCCCCTGGTTCTTGTCCTGAGCCCAGTCTTTGTGCGAGAAGATCCCTGTGGTCGTGCAACAGAGACGACAGTCGGTTGATAGATCGACGAAGAATCCCTTGTCGGGATGCCAAGGATGACGACATAGTGAAAAGTCACTTACGTCACTGAAGTAGAACCGTGTACAGATAGGAGTATAGTCGTTTGATAGTCGGAGTAGGAGTGATGTCTATATAGAAGTATAGTCGCTTGATATCCTTCAGAAGGCATCTTTGACTCGACTGCTTTCACTAGCTCTGGATCCGTGTCTGGGCCGATGCACCAAATGTAGTGATTCCTCTGCTGTGGCCGCTAGAAGTCGGAGGAGAGTAGGAAGAAGTATTTTAATGCGAGTGCATGGGCCTTTTATTGGCCAACACAAACAATAAGAATCAGATCACTTTTATCATTGCTTCGGTGGTCCATTTATTCTTATTCGTAAACAACAACTTGGTTGGACGTGGGTTGATAATAGAGGATTCTCTATACCGCTGTCGCTACAGGCGACTGTCAGTAGCGAATGAGACTTATTAATGCCTCTCTTATACTGATGAAGAAGATGGAATAACGATGCTATTGATCACGAGTCAGAGCTCGCAAAGCGGTAAGTATGGCAAGAGGTCACTCGTTATGTGTGGATACTCATCTCTGTTGTTCACCTTGGACTCCTTTGCAGAATCCAGAACGCCTCTGATGCCTTTCTCGTTGGAATTTCCGTCTCCTGTCCTGATATACAGTGCACTTCACTTCGAAATTTTCGCCGTTGTGCACCTCATCTTTTAAAGGGTTCCCGTGCTTCATACTAGCTAGATGTTCTTTTATCCGTATAGCTAGTTGTTGTTCTGTTTCGCCGATATAGATTGATCCACATGCCCGACATTCTAGCTGGTATATCACCCCATAAGCGCAATCACCTGCTTTCCCGTAGGGACATATGGTTCAGTCGTTTGTCAAGCATTGTTTATCGTAGAGCCGGTTTTGAACCGACTGTTGTTTGATGTTGCTGTTGGGTATATTCACCAATTGGACAACATCTTGCAGGTCAGCTCTGCAAATACTTCGTCGTATTGCAGTGCTGACTTTATCAGGAATAAAAGGAAGACAAAGTGGTAGTTGTGTAACGCGCGAAGAACCTTGACAATTTGGACTATCCAGTTCGAGTCTACCGACCAACTCTCCATCGATGCCTGCAGATTTAGCGACGTTCTACCGAACATGATTGAGGCGGCTGCATTGTGAAGTCTTTTACTCAAACGAATCATGTTTTTCACTAGCCCCTGAGGATCATCAGTGAGTGGGGTTAGCGAAGAATAGAGTATGTAATAGTAAGATGCGAATTGTTATATAAACATCAAAACCAGAATAAGAAAATTAGTAAAAAAATAATAAATTAAAATTAGTATAAATAATTAATAAGCCTCATTCGCTACTGACAGTCGCCGGTGGCGATAGCGGATTCTGTCCGCCTTGACTGTAGACCCTGGTGATTATTTCATGGAGAGAATAGTTTCCCCATGAGTTTCGGTCGTTTTTTGCCTAGGAGACAAACGCTATTGGATATTGCGAAACATCTCAAACCGCGTCCAGACCTCTGAAAACGACGATTACGTCGAAAAACTTGATAAAGTGTTCTACTTGAAAACCTCAAACAACAAAAGATTTCTAACAGCGTGAACAATAATGCTGAGGTTGAAAAAAGAGAGAAGTTGAAGATTACTCGAGTTAAAACTCCCAGGAGTACACCATCAACAGTCAATTTGATAAAACCTTCAGCGGCTGTAAGAAAACGCTCACGCATAATGTCGTAATCATCGGAACTTCTCAGAGGTGAAACGCTACGTAACCATTGTCGTGACCGAAAACCGCTCAAAAGCTTCCCCTACTGCTTTACTAAGGCTTGCACCTTCGAAAGCAACTAAATCCTTCTGTCAGATAACCTCTTGTTGACCTATTCGATTTTTTCCTGGTGTTAGCTGGAGAAGGGATTTACAGGGTTGGTTTTAGAAGGTAAAAAAGGTAAAAAAGAATTCATCGACCATAGTTTGCTGTGACATGTAATATTTTTTTCGGACCATATGACACTACTTACGCTAAAGAGCTTGCTATACTCAGATCAAAGCCATTGCCGTTTGAAACAAATCCCTTGTATATTGCAGGACATTTTATTCAACGACGAACTTAAACTAGGGCGAAACTTCCAGGTGTCGTTCGCAAAGGATGTGGTTAAGGTGTGACTTCTTCATCAAAAACATCGACACAGGACTAATATCTAAAATGCACTGAAACCTAAGAGAGGATCTCTTTTAGGGTTTAGTTTTCCTGCACGGTTCTCCAATTCTACACCATGGTTTATTATGTTTACAAAACTGCTTAGTTGATTCTAATTGGATGGTGAAGCTAACCAACTTTGCCACGGAGAATATCATCAGCGAAAAGCTCTATCACAACGAAATCAAGCTCATCCTCAACGATAACGAGGATGAGACCGATCGTATCGCTGACAGAAGTAAGTTTAAGAGAACTTCTGGAATCATAGGAAGGACAAAAAATAATCCTCGTACTCTGTCGTATAATGACCGTGAAGCCTAATGAGTAGATCTTTGTCCGTAAACTTATTAAAAATTACAGTCATAACAAGATCATAAAAGGAGGAGGCTCTACTGTGCAACCATCCTAGGGTTGCGTAATGTGACAAAAGAGCGAATGACTGGATAGTAGTAAAAAAAAGCATATGCTCATTATCATTAATTGCATTTCTCTCACGGTTTTATAATTTATAAATACGACGAAGTAGCTATTGCAATGCCAGAGACGTTGAATGCCATCTTGTTTTGGCATTTGGCAAACAAAATTCGCTATTCGAATGGCTTCAAAGTGTTGGTATACCGATACTGATGCTATTCTCGACTTTTTTTTTCAGAATATGTCCAACAGGCTCCTGAAATCATTCGTGGGTTAATTAACCGAAAGTCATTGCCGCCAGGATCACAACCAGCTGACATTTATTCTCTTGGAATGGTCCTCTACCAGATTTTGTTCCGTGTTCAACCGTTTCACGAACGAGGCAAAAGTATCACAAGTAAGTTATCAGTAGGTGTGTCACTAGCAATACGAGGGTTGCCTTTTATATTTTGAGATTTGGCAACACTAGAGTAGCAATCTAGCAAATGACATCACTGTCGTAAAGTATGACTATTTTGAGGATATGTTGCGAAATTTGAGCGCGATTTGTATTGTTTACACTAAGCTATAAGATTTTGTTTAGGCCAAGTTATGGGATTGACTCGTGAGCATTTTCGCGCGGTTAGTTTCTACAACTTTCGACGTGGCTAACTCAACAGCAATGCATGGATGAGCTTAGTTCAATTTTTGGTGATGAAGCTCCATCCAGGGCCAGTGTTTATCGATGGTACAAAGAGTTCACCCGAGGTCGTAGTTCACTCGAAGACGAATTTCGTGGAGGTCGCCCAAAATCAGTTGTTGTTTCGAAAACCGTTGATACTGTGCACAAACTAATATTGCAAGTCCGTCATGTGACCTATCGTGAGATTGAGGCAATCTTGGGCATTAATGGGACTGGCTTACATTTAATATTGAATGAACATTTCACAGTAAAAAAAAGTTGCTTTTGAAAAAATTGACTATCCCTCAAAAAAGGGACTCGTGTCGATTGGTCGAAAGAAATGCTCAAAAAATACGATCGCGGTGCTTCGAAACACGTCTATGGCATCGAAACAGATGATGGATCATGGATTTATGCGTGTGAGCCCGAAATGAAGCAGCAGTCGACCGTATGGGTATTTCAAGATGAGCCAAATCCAACAAAAGCTGCCCGCGCACCAAACACTTCCGAGCAATTGGTCTCCTGTTTTTTTGGAAAAACTGGACATGTCGCAACCGTACCACTAGAATAAGCAGAACAGTCAATTCTGAATGGTATGCCATCATTTGTTTGCCAGTTGACTTCCAAAAAATCAGGAAAACCAACTGCTGAAGACCGATCACTCTTCACTACGACAATGCGAGCTCCCACACATCGGCTCAAACAACTTCATTTTTGTGCACTCAGAACAACGATTTCATGAGACTTCAGCCATGAGGTCCAAGGGTGGCTTGTTCTCATCCCGCACGTAAAAAATAGAATGAGAGGTCAACGTTTTTCGATTCTGAAGAAGCCGTTAATGCGTACAGAATCCATGTTTTAGAGTCACCTACATCAGAGTGGCAAAAGTGCTTCGAAAATTGTTTCGAGCCCATGCAAAAGTGTATAGATCTCAATGTGGAGAATTTTGAAAGGCAGTAAAGGGATTTTCAATGAATGATATTTGTTTCTCTTCCCAAATCTCAAAATATAAAAGGCAGCCTACGTACATCATGTATGTTTCGAACAACGGAATTGAAATGCGGAAAAAGCCAATGGTAATGGAAGCAAAAAATGTTTCATGAGTTCATACTGTGCCATTTTATGCATTCACCCTTCCAGTGACACAGCGTTCGTTGGTATTTGACTATGAAGGACGAGCCTGCCCTCAGAAAGTTCCCAGTAGAGTCGATTGCTCCTAATGAGTATCAACTGTATCACCTGTCGCCCCGTTGATCATTGATTTCCTCGAGCGGGCGTTAGTAACGTCTCCATTCGTCTCTGTCACGAGTCAGAGTGGTCCAGTAAATCGTCCTCGCTTCAGGGACATGAGGTCCAACATTCCTTTCGTCTAGAGCTGTCGTCTGCGAGAAACAGATATAACAGAAACAGATGAAACAGAGCACAGCACAAGTGGTCAACCCCTGAATCCACCTGCATCTCTGGGCAAGTACCGGTGACTTTTGGTTGACGACTATCCGCCACCAAGGGACGCCCTACGTAGCTTCGTCACTAACCGGCTGGGATCCCTTAGTGAGAGAGAACTCACAGTGAACGAGATCCGTAGCTCTCGATGAGTACTGATAAGTATTGATTATAATTATTGCTACTGATAGTATAATTTCAAGATTCCATTTGAGCTGCCTGAAAAAAAGCATCGATCAAACACCACTGGTATACATTGGTGGAATGCGCAGGAAATGGACGTTTACACCAGGCTTTTCGACGTGCCCTTTGTGTGTGCCCTTAGCTGCAATCAACATTTTGAGTGATTATGAGCTCTTACACCTTTCACACACACCATTTTCGGCATTTTTAAAGTCAAATACCTGTTACTCCGGAAACCAACTTGAGCCTCAGCAGGCAATTTGTCAAACCAACCCTAGCCCTAGAAGACCCAAGGAGTGTTCAATGTACATATTCATCTTCATCGTTGAATTCCAGAACTCATGGAAATGATATCGATGTCGAACGAGGACGATCAATTGATTCGTCCTACGTTCCCCTCATCTCAAGGCAATGAGAGTTACAATTTACAGGTAAAGTTCATCTTTTCACAAACATCTGTCCCAACTGATTTCGCCTCATTATTTCACGAGCCTACTCCAAGCTGATACAAAGCGTTAACGCGGTGGCTAAGGATTTAATGGCTTGATAATCAGCTCTTGTCTTGTGAAATAAAACAGCAGTGTGGCTACTTCAGTTGCTTGCAGTCCCAACAGCTTACCTGCTTCCAAGGAATCAAACAAGATTCTAGCCTTCGAGAAGTTCTGCCTCGAACTTAGAGCTTAGCTAATCTGAAATTTAATCGTTTAACTTTTTTAAGAACGAGCATAAGGCTGAGCTTGAAATCAGTTTCAGTGCCGTTCACAAGCCCAAGGGTAGATTTATGGATCGATTTCAGCCCACACGTGCCCACTCTTTTCCTATTACATTCGCGAACCTCTCATTCTTTTTAAGTAGGTTAATTTTTTTTAAATCGTTCTGGAGGGCAAAGACAATAATTTGTACAGCGCTCGACCAACAACACGGGTCCCTGTGTAGGCCAAACATACAAAAGTCAATGCCTTTTCTAAAGAGAATTGCTTTGCGTGATATGAGTCAGAAAACAATGATCAGCACAGATGTACATAGAATAAACCATGTGGTGATGTCATGTTTGTGAATCCTTCGTGCAGAGTTATTTCCATGACCAGAATTCAGCTGCTTTCGTGCCTTGAGGCGTGTTGGCTCGAGCTTCCTGAAATGCGACCCAACATCAAGAAGGTCAAGACGATGATAAACGCTAATTTACGCTCAACGTAAGGCCATTTGATCACACGATGGGCTTTTATTCTCAGGTTTTCTCTCCTTTACTGTTTGATTTAGTGGGAAAGGTTCTCTTGTTGACCAGATGATGAAAATGATGGAAGACTACACGAGCAATCTCGAAAACATGGTTCGCGATCGTACAGCACTTCTTGAGGAAGCTCAAAAGCAAGCGGATCGATTATTGAACAGCATGTTACCCAAGTGAGAAATAGCTAGTTATTACACCGATGCCGGTAGCAAAATCTCATAAAGCTGCTTGAAATTTCTCACTTCAGTTAGGTTGAAAATTTATTTATGAATCATGAATTACTTTTAAGATTATTATTCCTGTTCTCTTGTTTGTCTAGCCAACTTTCTATGTAGCATCGCATTTTCTGAAGAAAAGCGGCACCTTTCCATACCTATAGTTGTATATGGTACAGCTACTGATTCAAGATCAACCGATACCGCTTAGCCGTAACTTCTGATAAAATTCTCCGTCCAAGTTGATAATAAGAGCAGCGGAAAGTTTCTTGAGTGAAGAATCCTACTACGTATAAGAATCTCTATCTATGTGTAAGAGTGTGTGTCCGTGTATAAGTTCAACCAAAAGTTCATAGCTCGTGTGCCCGTGGACCCAGAGCATCCAAAGTCGGTACGAGAACAGGTGACAATGTTACACTTATGTTGGATAGCAAGACCATGCTTTGCCAGTTAGAGGCGCCAAATTATGAGCGTAAAGTGAAATTCAAAACTCTAATTTCTCGAGACCAAGTTACTTTCAATTTGGCAGAAGTAGAAGCGGTAGGATAGGAACACTGGAACATAGGAAGGTTGATAGGAAGTAGGACAAGACCCTTGTCAGTTCTAATAGCAGCTTGTCAACGTATAATAGCAGCTCGAGCGACTTAACGTTGTTGTCAGTCTTTCTGCCAGTTGCATACCGGTATGTTTCGCCACGCATGCTCTTAAAAGAACGCAACAGTAACAAATGCCATAGAGGAATAGGGGTTGATGGTGTGGGGTCGACGAGCTTAACAGCAAATTAGGAGATGATTCGGCCGTTCATCATCAGGGTATACCATGACTGACTCCAACGATCATGTTAAAGCGACTCGAGCCAAGGACATCCCGTTGAGGGCGCACCTCACAAGAAATTTTGAGGGATCTGTTTTAGGCGAAGTAATGGAAGCCGTAGTGCAGAATAGTGCAATGGTAGCGGAGAAAGCACGAAAATTCCCCAGGCACGGATTAACTTTTTCCACCCACGCCCCGCTTCCCATGAGCGGAGTCAAGTTCTGCCACATACCATAAGTGTTCCTATCCCGCTACTCCTGCCGTATTTAATCTCTTCAGATCCTAAGGAACAAGAGCTGTGAATTCCCTGCTGAACACAACTTTTGCTCAAACCCGCCTTCTCCCCGCCCCCGTTCCCCCCCCCCCCCCCCCGGG